GAGGGGGGTGGAAAGGGGTAAGGGGGGGATTTCTTGTGAATAATTTCTCTGCTTCTATTTTTCATCTTTCTGCCCTCCTGAACCGGCTCATCACATCCCCTCTGCCGGCTAGAAACGAGCGGAAATTCATACAAGAAACACTTTTTTCTGCTGTAGGGTCTAAAGGGGAGGTTCTCCCCCTGTAACCCCGCATTTGCTTTGGTGGCTTTTCCCCTAACATCGAACCCCTCGTTGAGGGTCGGCCTGGCCCCGCAGCCAAACGCCCGGACCTCATCCCGCAGCTCTCGCTCGGGAGCTCCAGCCGGGGCTGCCCGGGGACCCCAAATCGCTCCCCGAGAGCTGCGGCTCCCCACGCCCGGCCGAGGCACCGCCACCCCCGGCACGAGCCGTGGCATCCCGAACGGGAAAAGGATTTTAATACTCTCAGGCGAGGGGAGATCCCTCTATCCGCCGCAGCCGTTCGGAACCGGAGGCCTAAACACCCCTAGAATTTGTCCCTATCCTTGCCCGATGCCGGCCCGGCTGGGTGGGTTTTCCCAAGGAGATGCTTTCGCTTTCCCGACTGCCCCATCCCTGCTGCCCCCTTACCTGAGTTTCCGTGAGGCTGAGGCTGTGTGCCAGCTGCTTTCTCTCCGCTCCTACTACATAATGGTTCTTCTCAAAGGCATGTTCCAGTCTCAGTAATTGGGATGGGGAGAAAGCTGTACGGATCCGTTTGGGTTTCCTGGCCAGTGCATTGTGCAATAGGAAGCTCTCCGGGCTGGTTTCATTCCCTGGGAAACAGGGTAAAACAGATTAGTTAGACACCTTCCCCAAACGCACTCGACAGCACTTTTTAGTGCAAGAATTTTTGTCCCCCACCATTACCCTCGGGATAAATCCAACTCTAGCCTCTTTTTTTATTATTTTTCACGTCCTTTTTTGCACTGAATTTTTCTTTGATAAACACTTGGAAGGGAAGAATAAATAAGCAGAGGGAGGAAAGGACTGGTAGAAATTAAAATGCCAAAACACAACCTGGCGAGCACTACAGAAAAGAAAGAAGAAAATAAAAGAATTGGCCAGAGCACGGCTGCGGTGTGTGCAGCTACACCTCACGGCTGCCCCCTCGACCACCGGAGCCTCACGTCTTTCCCTGTTTGTTTGTTATTTCCACCTTCCCTCGGCGGCCGGCTGGGCAGCGGCTCTCGGGGTGCACCGAGCCCCGAGACCCACCGGGCTCCGGGAGCCGCTCCCCCGGCCTGCCTCGGCTTCCCTCGGCCAAAACTCCGGCCGGAGCCTTTCTCCCTCCGCTTCCCTCGGTTCTATGGGTGTGGAGATAGTGGAGTGCCGCCGCCTTCCCGGCCCACTCACCCTCCCCGCTGCCTCGGCGGAGCTGCGAACCGGCGTGGAAATAAAGAACCAAACTCTGAGGAGGCCACAGAGCGGCCATCCCATCCCATCCTATCCCATCCTATCCTATCCCATCCCATCCCATCCCATCCCATCCTATCCCATCCCATCCTATCCCATCCCATTGCTGCCGGCCTGCGGGAGCCGGGGCTCTTCGGTGGGCATTTCCCCCTGGGCTGTCCCTGGGCCGCTTCTCCGGGCTGGCCCTTCCAAGGTGCAAGCGGCACCGAGGGGCTCTCTCTGCAAGTGCTTTAAAAATCGTTGTTGGAGGAGGGTGTGTTTGAAATCAGGCTGTGGCTCAACACCAGGACATTTCCGCCTTTCATCTACCCCTCGTTACCAATCGCCTGGTGCCTGCGACAAATAATTTGGTGAGCGAAACCTGTAATTTTATTCTGAAAGGGTAATAATCCATTTTGTGTCTCAGACCGCCTGGCTTCGGAGAGAGCGGCTCCTTTTGCAACCCGGCTGCAGCGGCCCGGCTGTGGAAGGCCGGAGAAAATGCAACATGCAGGTGGTTTGTTTTCGTTTCGAGTTAATAAATAAATATACAAGGGAAAAAAAATATTAATAAAAAAAAGGCAGATGGATCCCTGCGAGAGGAGGCTGATTTGTTTTGTTTGTTTGTTTGTTGGTTTGCCTATAACGAAAGCGGCAGAGGCTGGACCCATTACAGGAGAGATCGGCTCACCCTTAGGAGAAGACGCTGCCGGTTCCAAAGGGTTAAACAAGGGGGATTTTATTGATTGTCCGCCATTGGATTCGGTTATTTCCCTTCAGCCCGTTGGTAATCGCTTGGCATTCGGAGCCCCTCGCGGACCGCTCTGTCGGGATCTCCCTCCGTGCCCCTTTCCTGGCGCTGCATTCATTCCTCACACACACTCCCCTCCTCCTTTCTCCGGGCTTCGCTTCGTTTCTTCCCCTCCAGCAAAAGCAGCGGCCGGACTCGGGGCTTGCAGCGGCCCCGCAGCTCGGCCCCGGCAGCCGGGCGGGCACCGCCGCCCTCCCGGGGAACCCCAGCCTCGCCCCCTCTCCATCCCCCTGCCGCTGCCTTCGGGGGCTCCTCTCTGGTTCTTAACACACCGCAACAAAAACTATCCACCTTTTCCTCTGCTTTTAATGGGGCAAGAAAGCTGACGAAGTCCCAGCCGGCCTTGCCTTCCCGCTTGCCCCTCTTCTTCCCGGGAAACCAAAACAAACCGGGAAAAGCAGCAAAACAATACCGAGCCCGAGCCCCTCGGCTCTGACAGCTCTTCCAAGTTTGTCGGGGTGGAAGACAGG